CTTTCACTGTACGCGTTTGCTATACACCTGCGACGTACATGAATATCATGTACGGTGCACATGGACGGTATACGTGTGCGGTGCACGGGCGTAGAGGAAGTGTGCAGTATACGTGTACGGTGCACGTGTAATATATACGTGTACGGTGCAGGTGTACGGTATACGTGTACCGTACAAGTGCACCGTACATGTATACCGTACTTTTGCATCGTTCACGTATACCGCACGGTGCACGTGTACGGTATACATGTACGGTATACATGTACGGTGCACGTGTAGGGTATACGTGTACGGTGCACGTGTACGGTATACGTGCACGGTGCACATGTACAGTATACATATACAGTATACGTGTACGGTATACGTGTACGGTGCACGTGTACGGTATACGTGTACGGTGCACGTGTACGGTATACGTGTACGGTGCACGTCTACGGTGTACGTCTACGGTGCACGTGTAACGTATACGTGTACGGTGCACGTGTACCGTATACATGTAGGTGAACATGCACCGTGTAAAGTGCACGTGCACTGTACACGTATACCGTACATGTTCACCGTACACGTATACCTGCACTGTACACATATACCTGCACCGTACATGTATACCGCACACGTGCACTGTACACGTGCACCGTACACGTATACCGCACGTGTACGGTATACGTGTACGGTGTACGTGTAGGTGCATGTGTACGGTATACGTGTACGGTGCACATGTATGGTGTGCGTGTACGGTGCACGTGTACGGTATATGTGTATGGTGCACGTGTACGGTATACATATACCTGCACTGTTCACGTATACCGCACGGTGCACATGTACGGTATACGTATACGGTGTATGTGTACGGTGCACATGTACGGTATAGGGTATACGTGTACGGTGCACGTGCACTGTACACGTATACCGTACATGTGCACCGTACACGTATACCTGCACTGTTCACGTATACCGCACGGTGCACATGTACGGTATACATTACGGTGCACGTGTTCGGTATACGTGTACGGTGTACACATATACCGTACACCTGCACTGTACAGGGATACCGTACATGTGCACCGTACACGTATACCGCACACCTGCACTGTACACGTATACCGTACATGTGCACCGTATATACGGAGCATGTGTACTGTATACGTGTGCGGTGCACATGTACGGTATATGTGTGCGGCTACAAATATCGTACACGTAAACCGTATAAGTGCACCGAAGACCTATACCTTCACATGTACCGTACATGTATATGTATACCTGTACATCTACCGTGTACGGGTACTACGGATACAATATGTACATGTATTTACACACACATGCAAGTTTTCTTTTTGAGACTTTGAAAAAGCTAGATCAGATTTTTGTACCGGGTAAATGAGATGTTCCAGTTTCTCTTCTTAGATCGGAAGATCGCGGGTTACAGAAACAAAACGATTCACTTGTAGTCTGTTTGAGACAATAATAAAAAAACATCCTCCAAAATGCCAGAGTGAAGATTTCACATTTTTTATTACATACAGCACATTTTTGACTATGTTTAGAGAGCGGCATATCGTGGTGTAACAGCAGTACAGACAGACACCGTTCTGAAAAGCATAACAAAATATTTTTTACCATTGCTGGTTGGGACATTAATGTTGAATTATAGCGTGTTTGTTACTATTTTTAGGATGTGGTGTATTTTGAGCTGGAAGAGTAGGAGCAAAAATTGTTTTAAGAAATGACATGAAATGTCTTGTTGTAATTTAAAAGTTTAATTCCAATTTTAA